CTGTTACTTATGCCAAGACCTTCAGCGCTTTTTAAGAAGGAGAAAGACTGATCCCTCCACAGCCAAAGAAGAATGAAAGGACTGCAAGTGAAGAAAAGTTAAATTATTCAAAGTATTGCATCATAAAGATTCTCTTCAAACATCCGCTTACCTAGTCTAAATAGAAACTAACACATTCATCTACAAAGAAAGGTAAGACAGCAATCTCCACGGAAAGACTGTTAAAGACAAATATAAGTCTGGCCTGAACGGCATCTTTACATCTAGCACAGCCTACATTTTGCCATGGGAGGTTCCTTGCTAATTCGAAACAATCTCTCTGACCTAGAGTCTGGGAAGTCACTAACTTGGAATACAGGAAAATACTTAAAATTAATTTTGGCTCAGAAGGTAAATAATTGAAAAATGTGCACAAAGTTTTCCCAAAAGCAATTAGCAATTGTAAATACCTATTCATAATAGCAGCAAAAAGAGCTTAAAGAATCCAAACAAAACAAAACTGTATTGCCCTTTAGTTATAGCTGTTGATAAGGCACAGTCTTCCTTAACACAGGTTGAGAGATTCCATTCTTTCAGTTCTTAGACGGTTGTTGTGACAGCAGCCAGAAGCCTCAAATTAGCCTGAGACCCCTTTGTGTTAGGCGCTGCCCAACTGCAGGAATTGCCTCCCACACAACTTGGAACCCCAGCCCCACCAGTGGTTCCTCAGGATGGACCTTCCCTACTCAATCCCCCCAAACCAGCCTACGGCAAGGAAGGTTTTATTAGTAATTTTATCTCTAGGATTTAAAGTAAGAGAAGCCCCTGAATTATTCTGCCCAGCTTTAGAATTCTGTTAGGGTATTTTACTGAGCAATCATATTAAAACAAATCATACCTATTTTTAACACTAAAACACAAAGAAATCAAAGTCTCAAATCCCCATAACAAATAATACATCTCATCAGCTGTAGGCCGTGAAAGTTGCACGCGGATCTGCAGCTCTACATACATCGGGAGCGTAATCCCGAAGCCGCTATAGGTTTCCATGTACAGATGAAAGTAGATTAATGGTACCTCAGGTTGAGAAAGGAAGCATTGAGCAGGAGAAGGAAAAAAAAAAAAAAAAAAAAAAAAAAAAAAAAGAAGAAAACAGTGTCCTTTATTCCTGGTCAGTCTTTTGCTGTCCAACTCTTGCCTGTAGTAAACTCACTAAAAGGAGAGCCACACATTTAAAGACTGGATTTTTATACGCGTATCTGCTGATTTTGACAAGGATTATCGCATGTTTTCATGTGTTTAAAACCAAAGTAATCTTGTTTTCACAAGCTAACAGAAAACTAATGGCAAACTACTAGAAAGAACCACAACTATGGCCGCTACCTTCAATTCTTCTTCACAATATTGTTAAGTATCGGTCCAACTACATTTTTCTCTCATTCTTCCCACCCCATCAAATTACGGCTTTCTCAAACTCCAGTTTGATCACAAAATTGCTGCTTCGCACAAGATACATACGTACAAATTAGAAATGGGAGATACCAAAGGGTTTCAGGAGAGCTCTTTCTTGTGGCTACCCTTCCAGCGTGAGGCAGAGATGACACACGCTCTCCGCTGACCACCATTTAACCGTGATGCCCTGCTGAAATACATACTCATGGCCTACTTCATGGTTCAGCATGCTCCACAGCACTTAATAAACTGAGCACTCAAACCGTCTTTTTAAAATTACCGAGGACATAATTAAGCTCCAGAAATAAGCAGACAACAGCAATTTTAATATAAACATCCCACTTATATAGAGGACTCTTAGTTCAACTTGGCATTAATGCCCGAACTCTTACTTATGGATTCGTGCAAATCTCTAGAAGGCTTCTTCCAGTATTTCCTTGAGTTCGGCATTTAGTTTGCCCCCTTACGTTTTAATCCGTTTCAGACATTTTGACACATAACTTTCCTTTTAATCAGTAGAAAAGACGGTCAGACCAGCCTACCAGCGGCACCTGACCTAACGAACCAGCGACATCGTAAGCCTGGATGGAGACATTTGGCCTTCCCAGTAGAAGGCCATGGAAAAACAGATCACGACACATACATATATTTGAGCAAACCATTGACCAAATATAGCCAGCCACCAACGATAACCACGTACTGCTATCAAACGCGCAACACCGATCCCGATCTTGCAAACGTTGACGTTCGCCGGGAGTCCAGTTCTTGGACTACCCCTGGAAGTTCAGCTCGACAGCGGGTCTTTGTACCACCGGGGCCTCACCGACCGCAGGGGTTTAACAAGTCAAATAAGGGCCTGAAACCGCCGCGGGGAGCC